AATTATAGAACAAGATTACAATCTGTGGGATGCATTAGAAAGTTCAAAGTGGATTCCATGTGACACCTTAGAATTGTGTTATTAAAATTTCTTTTGAATAAATTACTTATTTGCTATATCTATGTAATTATGTATTTTTATGTATGATTTAAATAAATTTATAAATTGTAAAATAAGAATTTGTTTTTAAAATAAGATAAAATTTATTTTTATTACAAAAAATTGTTTACTACTAATTTAATATAAATTTCATGTTATAAAATTTACTATGTAAAAAAATCTATTTTTTTTATTAAAATAAAGATTTTTTTTATTAAAATAAAAATTAAAAAATACTATACAATCTATAAAAAATCTAATTATAGGTTTAAATAGGATGATACAAGAAAACCATAATTGTTAAAATGGTTATTATATTTTTAGATTGATGAAGAATCATTAAATTATTAAATGATTAATTATTGATAAAGATTCAATTAATTATTGGTAAGATTCAAAATTGACATTTTCCTAGAAATTCAAGATAAAAGTTCATTTTTATTGAATCATATTCGTTACAAAGATAAAAAATGTTAGCAACCATAGGTTACAACTCAGTTATTTTCTTGAAAAAGAATGATGTTAAAATTCCATTAGTCCTTGGACTTCATTTACAATGTGTTTACATTTTGCAGTCAAATATAAATTACATACTATTTTTTTTGTCCCTTATTCTTCTCAATCTATATTCATTTTCTTAATTCATTTGTATTTTATCTAAAATTTAAATAAAATTTAAATAATATTTTTTAATAATAATAAATTTTTTTGTATTTTAAATAATCATAACCAACAATATATTTATATAACATCAAATAAATAATTTAAAAATTTTATAAAGATTAAATTATTTTTATCATTATAATCTTTCCTTTTCTATAGGAATTCATTCAAAATATCATAATGATTATAATTGCTAAATATTTTAATAAATATACTTACATTAGCTTTCTTAAGATTTTAAGTATTAACGTCCGAACTAACCATGTAAACTTGTAAAACACTTTTACCAGGTTCCTCCAAAGATTCCTTTGATAAAATAACCAAAGAACCTGGTTCTACATTACCAATGCTTGGTATAACTGTTTTAATAGGATCTATATGATGAATTTCTGAATTAAGATTGATATTGTCAAAAATTAAATTCTCTGTAACTTTTGCATTATCTTCTGATGAAATTGTTATTTCATCGTTGGAAGAACAATTTAACCTTTCATTATCAAGAGTATTTATATCAGGTCCCTGTAATCTTTTTACTTTTGGTAATCTTCCAGATCTTGTTGGTCTTACACGATAAATTTCTGTGTCACTGTCAGCATCATTACATGAACTTAATGATTCTACATCATCTTCTTTGATCAATAGTTTTCTTTCATCTCTTGTTCTTTTATACATTTTTTTATTTATTTTATTTGATGTTTGTTGACATTCATCATTTAAATGTGTATTTCCTTTAGACATTATTGAGTCTAAACCAAAATCGTCTTCCTTCTCTTCTTCATTGTCAGATGCATCCATTTCAGCAATACTAGATGCTACAATTCCTAAAAATAAATTAGTAAATAGTATAAATTAATAAATCAATAAATATTTAATGTAATAATATAATTTTATATAAAAGAAATATGATTTTGTAAAATAAAATTAATTAAAAAAATATTTAACAAATTGAAAAATTTTTAATTTTTAATACTTTAAACTTACTTCGTCTTCTGGTTGATTTTGAATTCTTCTTACTTTTTGTCTTTTGTTGCTTTCGTTTTTCTTGTATATGTAAGTATTCTTTTTCTGAATTTTCAAATGTTGCTGTAAACAATAAAAATTATGATATTAATCAATAAATAAATTTAATAATTTTATAAATCATATTTTAATTAAAGAAAATTAAAGAAAAAAAT